AAGACACTGATTTAACTTCCTTTGGATATTTGCCCTGAAGTGGATCATATAGAGATTCTATTTTTAATTAGTTGAAGAACCTCCATACCTGATTTTTATTTAATTTCTGATTTTATTCATTTCAGTCCTCTCTTTGCCTTCTCCAGCTTCTAGAGACCTCTGACATGCCTTGGTTTTTGGCTCTTTCCCCCATCTTAAAGCCAGCAGTGTAGTATGTCCTCTCATATCTGACCTCCTGCCTCCCTCTTATAAGGACCCTTGTGATTACGTTAGATAATTCAGGATAATCTCCCCATCCTTAATTATTTGCATCTGTAAAAGTTCTTTTGCCATGCAAGTAATATATAATCACAGATCCTAGAGATTAGGATGTGGACAACTTGTCAAAAGAGAAGGAGGAGGCACTGTTCAGTCTATCACACAACTAAATATATATACAATAAATGATGAAACTCTGAAAATCAACTTTGGTGACCACTGTGGTAATAACTTTCTTGGAGGAATTAATAAGGGATGGTTGATTATAAAACTAGTAGGTAAAATTAAGTGAAAACAGAATTCTACCTAATTTTAATGTATCTCCCCACAAGGCACTTATAAATTACCAAAAGAAAGATAATAACCTTATAACAGACAGCCCAAGTGTCCATCAATAGATGAATGGATAAAAAAAGGTAGTGTGTGTGTATAAACATTTATGTGTTTTATGTGTGTTTATGTATATACACTATATATAATGGAATATTACATGTGCACATAATGTATATATACACTATATATATGCTATATATAATGGAATATTATTCAGCCATCAAACACAATGAAATCTTGCCATTTGCCATGACATTGATGGAGCTAGAGAGTGTTACACTAAGTGAAATAAGACAGAGAAAGACAAATACCATATTATTTCACTCATATATGGAATTTAAGAAACAAAGCAAATGAGCAAAGGAAAAAAGTGAGAGAGAGAAAGGGAGAACCAAACCGAACCAAACCAAACCAAATGAAACAAAACACAGGCTCTTAACAATAGAGAACAAACAGATGGTTACCAGAGGGGGGACGGGCAGGGGGATGGGTTAAATAACTGACGGGGATGAAGGAGGGCACTTGTTGTGATGAGCACTGGGTGTTGTATGGGTGTCGACTCACTGTATTGTACACTTGAAACTAATATTACACTGTATATTAACCTACTGGAATTTAAATAAAAACTTAAGAAAAAAATCCTGGCAGGCACCAATATCACTAATATCACAATATCACATCTATGGTATTCATGCCAATAAATGAATAAATTGAATGTAATCATGCATAAGTAAAACTTTAACTGAAAGATAATTATATTAAATAAGTGGTCTATACTCTTCAAAAGTTTTAGGCCCATTAAAGACAAAGGAAGACTAAGAAATGTTTCCACATTAGAACACAGTAAGAGATGTAGTACCTAAATCCAACTTGTGATCCTGAATTAGATCTTTTCTTCAGGAAATACTCCTATGAGCACTTAGAGGTAAGTATGTGTATTATTCTCCATATGTTTCAGAGAAATATTTAAAGTTCACATTAACATTACATTACTATAGACAGAAAATTATAATGCACCCAGGGTAAAGTGTTAACATTTGTGGAATCCAGTGAAGGTCTATGGTAAGTGTACATGCTATTTATCTTTTAGGTAAGTTGTTCTTATTGTTGTTTTGCTTGTAAAATTATAATAAGAACAGGATGAATGTGAATTTGGAATTTGTATTATTTTTGAAATCACTTGATGTTGTCATGACATAACCATATTTGTCAAACATACAGCAGACATGACCCCGAAGCCAACAGAAGAACCGAGAATGAATGCACCTGCTATAAGCCAGAGCTGGTTTCTGTGATGACCTGGATGGCGTGCCTGTGCTAGTAATCCTGTACTGCTGAGGCACAACAGAGACATAATCAGGCGTGTGTACAGGGTGTATTCTGCACAGGAGCAAGTATAAGATGAAGCAGAAAAAGACTGGGAGACACCTGTCTGGCTGAGGGGGAGAGATTTCCTGGGGCCAAACAGCAGCTGGCACGTCAGTGGATTTGGCCACCAATGGCAGCTGGGAGAAGGCCAGATCCATCACTGGTTCTTCAGGAAGGTTGCCTGTGGCCCAAATCCATGCATGCTGTGTAAATGCCAATTTTGCAGAAGTTAGTTTGAAGTTTAGAGCTGGCAATGGTATGATGACAGGGTTTCTAGTCTATCTTCAGTGTTGGTGACCCTAAAGGGACCTCCAGGGCTAAAAATCTACTGCCATTCCTCTGCTTTTGCCACATGCAAGTTAAGCTTAGTCAAGTGCCCAACTATAGTTCAGGTCAGGATCTCACAGTTTGTGAATTTGAGCCCCACATTGGGCTCTGTGCTGACAGTTCAAAGCCTGGAGCCTGCTTTGGATTCTGTGTCTCCTCTCTCTCTGCCTCCTCCCCTGCTCACACTCTGTCTCTCTCTCTAAAAAATAAATAAACATTAAAAAATTTTTTTAAAAACCCACTAAAGTTAGATACTGGGAGATTCTGGTACTACATGAGACATCCCAAACAGTAGATTTCCATAATGCAAGATGATTTGAAGAACCAAGGTATATTTGTTGTTCACTCTATGTGGTCCCAGGTATTCACTAAAAGTTTGTCTGTATGCTTGATTATTGTTCTTCATTTCTTGGACAGGAGGTAAGGAAAACTGAATATACACTGTATTGTTGTTTATACCTAGTTGGCCACAGATCACAGGTATCACAAATCACAGGATCACAGATACATAAAGAAGAAGAGAAAGTCAACAGAAACTGACAAAGTTTCAGCCACACAGGAAATGGAGGGGAAGTTTGGGATGCATTTTTCTTCTTAATAATTAATGAAATAGGGTTTGAATCATCATATCTAAACTTTAAAGACCTCAAAAACTATGAATAAGATTTGGTTTACCATATAAAACTCAGATTTCCAAATTTTACTTTATAGTGAATTGTCCTTCATCTTCTCAAGCTGAATACAGCTGCCAGTTTATTGTTACTTACATAGCACACTTATTTCATAAGGATATGATTGGTAATAATATAGGTAACAAACTACTACTTTTATAAAAATGCATTTCTTTATATGGAAAAGATATAAGTTGATTTTCATTATGTACTTTTAAATCTCAAACATTCAAATTAGATCAAGCTTAAAAAGAAAACTAACGTTTTCCATACAGCTTTTATCACAAAATTTTTCTACTATATTCTTAGGTAATTCTTTCAAATACCCATTGGATTCATGAAGTCATTTCCAGAGCCTAGAAGTCTGTCTGTCTCAGATATTCCTTATTGCTCCTCGGGCTAAATGTCTGCCCCAAGCACCTCTCTTAATGATCCCTGGCCTATAATGACTCTTACCTCACAGGCTATATCTCACAGCTCTTTAAGTGATTTCCATCTCTTATACACTTCCCACCACCTTGAGAAAGAAATACAAAATGCTTATGTTTGCTTCAGTATTTCAGAGACGTTCTTGCTATAATTCATAAAACATATTTTCTTACTGTTGCTATGGGGTATTAAAAAATACAGATGAAAATTCCTCTCTATATGAATTCAAAAAAGAATAACAGTATTAAAGAAAAGATTTGAGATATATCACTATGTCTTTAGCTAAACCAAAAATAGAAAACAAATTTTTTAGCAAATTCTTCCTTAAAAGCAAGAAGTTAAAAGACAATAGGCTGGTTTTTAAAAAAGTATATCATCTTTTTATAGGGATTTCATTTCTTAATTTTCAATTAAGAATGGGATACCTTTGTTTTATTTATTGTACCACAGAAAATATTGATGCTTGATCTTGGTTTTACATGGATGTTTGCTCCACTGAAGATTGAATGGTATTTAGACAGACTTTAATTTATATCTGTGAGTCAGAGCTCTGTGGTTCTGAGAGACACACACTCCACTGGTTCTGACAGAGTGAGTAAACGGGAAAGTGGACGATGGATTGATGCAAACGAGTCCTTGCTGGAGAGGTGCATTGCTGTCCTGTAAAGGTCATGAGTGCACGGGCCTCTCCCATCCCACTAGTCTCCTTACTGCCCCTCTTACATCTTTGTTTCTGAGAGTGTAGATTAGAGGGTTGAGGCTAGGTGTGACAACAGTATAAAAGAGGGCAATGAACTTGCCTTGATCTTGAGAACTTTCTGATGGTGGCTGCAGATATATGCACAAGATTGGAATGAAAAAGAGGGACACAACCATAAGATGGGCTCCGCGTGTTCCAAAGAGTCTCTGAGGTCTGGTTGATGACTGCATCCTCAGCACAGCCTAGGCAATGGCACCATATGAGCTGAGGATCAGGATGAGTGGTATCAGAACAAAAATGAAGCTTGTGACCAGGAGGGTCAGCTCATTAGCACATGTATCAACACACAATAATCACAGAAATGCTGGAACTTCACAGAAGAAATGGTCCACTTGGCGATGTCCACAGAGGGGGACCCAGAAGGTAAAGGAGGAATGAAGTGCTGAGTTGGTAAAGCCGCTGACCCAGGAAGCCACAGCCAACAGGTGGCAGAAACGAGGGTTCATGAGCACAGTGTAATGCAGGGGTCTACAGACAGCTGCATAACGGTCATAGGACATGACCACCAGGAGGACACACTCTGTGGTTCCCAGTGCAAGGGCAAAGTAAAGTTGAGTCATGCAACCGGCATAAGAGATGGCCTTTTCTGGGCCCCAGAGATTGACCAGCAACTGAGGGATGGAGCTGGTGGTGTAGCAGAGATCCAGAAAAGAGAGGTTTGAGAGGAAGAAGTACATGGGAGTGTGGATATGGGCGTCCAGGTATGACAAGACAATGGTAAAGAGGTTGCCTATCAATGTCATCAAGTAGAACATCAAGATAAGCACAAAGAGAACTACTTCCAGATGAGGCCAATGTGAAAAACCCAGTAGAATAAAGTAGCCTTCAGAACTTTCATTTTTCCCCTTCATCATTCACTTTTTGTTACCTGAGGAAAGAATCACATACTTCCCAAAAACGTAAGAAAATGCTCCAAGAATCACAGGCACACATGAAAAAAAAAAAATAAGCCAATTAAAAAAATTTTTTTTCAACGTTTATTTATTTTTGGGACAGAGAGAAACAGAGCATGAATGGGGGAGGCACAGAGAGAGAGGGAGACACAGAATCGGAAGCAGGCTCCAGGCTCTGAGCCATCAGCCCAGAGCCTGACACGGGGCTCGAACTCACGGACCGCGAGATCGTGACCTGGCTGAAGTCAGACGTTTAACTGACTGCGCCACCCAGGCGCCCCAAAAATAAGCCAATTTAAAAGGACTACCACTGTTCAACTCTGGGACAATTTGGGCATTAATAGAAACTACACTAAGAAGTTGAGTGAAGTAAGAATCCACAAGCTCATAGTGAGATAGATAGATGGATAGATAGATAGATAGATATAAATTATTAGTGGAGAAGAAAAAATTATTCCTGCCAATAGGATTCTAAAAATATGTATACAAGGAATGGTAGAGCTAAAAAAGGTAAATAGATGCTAAAAACTAGTGACTCAAATATGATGAGAATCAGGATATTTGCATGCTCTAAAATACCTCCCCACTAATTACTTGTTAATTACAAAATGAAGAATAAACTTCACAAGAGAAAATGTGGATGGACATCACCATAACCAAGATTAGTCAATATTAACAACACCAGTGTTGAGACAAACCAACATTGTGCACCTACTGACATGATACTCTGAGCAGGACATAATGTCACTCAGTGACATTCCTGCCAAAAAAGCACAGCCTGATTCCAGCAACGAAGACACATGAGAGAAACTCAAACTGAGAAAAGCTGGACAAAATAGCTGTCCTGTACTCTTAAAAAATATTCTGTTAAATGAAGACAAATAAAGGCTGAGGAACTGGTCCAGACTAAGGAGATCACAGAGACATGTTATCTCAGTGGGTGGCCCCGGACTGGGAAAATATAGCTAATAATAGCATTTTTGAGAGTATTGAAGAAATACGACAATTGACTATGGATTAGATAATAATATGGTATTCATATTACATTTTCTGTTTTGTCGACTCTGCTGTGTTATGTAAAATAAAATCCCTGTTCTTAGGAAATAAACATCAAGCGAAAGGGTAAAGGGACAAGATGTCTCTTTCTTAGTCTCCAATGGCCAGAAAAAGAGATGATGATAGACAGGTAGGTAGTTAGGTAGCTAGGTAGGTCCGTCTGTAGATAGAAGACATCTTTCTAGGCACAATATAATCTACTGCTGGATCTGTAAATGGTTAATGGTGGTTCTTTGTATCACTTTTGCAACTTGTCTGTAAATTTGAAATTTCACCAGAATAAAAAATTTCACAAATTAAATATAAAATAAAAATGTTTCCACTTTTATATTTTATCCAGATATTTGTCATGTTATAGTAACATAGCTTCTTAACTGTCAATTTTTCATTACCCCAGGATGATATCTGGGTAAACAGTAACTGGAAAATTCCTCACATAACTACAGAAGAAAACTTCCATGGAACAAATCATCTTTTTTTTTATGAATAGCTTTAGTTTTCTTTTCAACATTTTCATGCTTTTTTTTCATTGATTTGATTATAAAAAACAGAATAATTGTAATCCCAATACTCTCTCATGGACAAATAGTCATGGTGAACAATATCAAATTTATTACTAATTTCAAAATATTTCCTGTAGCACCCCTTTATTTTCAGGGGGTATGTTCTAAGACCCCCAGTGGATTCCTGAAACCAAGTACCAAACCCTACACATACTATTGTTTTCTGACAAATACATGCCTATGATAAAGTTTAAGTTATAAATTTGGGCACAGTAAGAGATTAACAACTGTACTAAAAATAAAACAACTATAACAATTTATTGTAGTGAGAGCTATAGGACTATGGTGTCTCTCTCAAATATCTGATTGTACTCATCCTTCTTCTCCTTGTGATTCTGTAACACAGATGACGTGACAAGAATGACCCAGGCATGTGACCTAGCGTTGAGCTGCCATTGAGCCTCTGATGAAGCCTCAGGAGGATCATCTGCTTCCATAGGCCATGGTTGATCACAGGGTCACTGAAACTACAGAAAGTGTTACCTAAGATAAGGGGACGACTGTACACAGGGCAAAAATTCTGGAGCTTCAATTAAATATTCTTGTAGAAAGAAATTATCTTGTGATTGTTTATTTGTACTCAGAACTTGTTTCTAAACTGAAAACTAGGGTACAAATCAAATCAAATAAAAAAAAAACCCAATGGACACCCATCAATTTACAGATACTTCTGGTATGAAAAAAGCTGGAAATCTTAGTTTTTTTTTTATTTTTTAACATTTATTTATTTATTTTGAGAGACAGAGAGAGAGCACAAACAGGGGAGGGGCAGAGAGAGAGGGAGACACAGAATCAGAAGCAGGCTCCAGGCTCCAAGCTGTCAGCACAGAGCCCGACGCAGGGCTGGAACTCATGAACCATGAGATCACGACCTTAGTTGAAGTCAGACACTTAACCGACTGAGCCACCCAGGTGCCATAGAAATCTTAGTTTTGATGAACATATCTGTGACATGGACTGGGGAGAAAGTGATAGAATGCCTCCCAGAGGACGTGTGAATGGAACTAAATTTTAAAAGAATTTTTAGGAAAATGAAGATACAAATTCTTTGAGAGAGCAAAGGAGGAAGAGTGTGAGGATGGAGGGAAATAAAAAGTAACTTGATCATAGGGTGTAGAGCTGAGTCTGTGTCTGTCACAGGCCTAACGAAGGTGTCCACATTATTTCTTTCTCTCCAAGGTGAGAACTGAGATAGTATTTGAATTCTGAGCATAATTTATAATTTCCACATATATTTTTATTTTCCAGCTTCAGAAGAATTCTGAATATTTATTGAAACTACTGAATGGCTATTTACCTTTTAATATATTTTGCCTAGTGAGTCTTATGTTTCTTTTTTGTTAAAAAAAATGTAAGTACTTTCATAAATAGTTACACCTCTTAGATTATTCTTTTTCTCTTGTGGGTTTTGAATCTGTCTTGGGAGAGATTGATGCTATCTTTTCACCTACAGTTAGTGTGACAGGGCTCTGCCTCAATCAGCTTTGCTGCATCTGTCTCCACCTTCCACAGCCGGGTCTCCCTCACACTTCTTAATAAGCTACAGTAAAAACAGAAGGAAACCACAGCAGAGACACCTGTGGTTGCCTCTCAATTTTCTCACCTTCTATAAACACAACTCTTGAAAAAGATGTTACAAGTGGCTATTTGAGTTGAAGCAGGAAAGTTAGAAACAGTTTGGTCCAAGGCTGTAGGACTGACTCAGCTTCAACACTCTTAATCATTAACTAGTTGTTACATGAAGCTAAGCCACTTTCTACAGCTCAGAAACCATCCAGGATAATCACACAAGTGCATTGCTTAAAAATAAATTCCTTGTAAGTAAACAGAAGTTTAGTTCAAGGAATTATTATACCATGGGAGAGAGTAATTATAAAGACGTAGAGATCTGTAAAGGGTAACTTGGACCGAGATACAGTATCCAAGAAAATAAACTTGGAAGGGGGGCTCCCTCTCCATGGCTGAGGATCAGACCTCACCAAAGAGGAGTGGCTGCAGCCCACTGGGTGAAGACATCTGCTTTGGCTGAAACAAACAACAGTAACAGATGGCAAATCATGAAGATCACTTCACTTAGGAGTCACTGCCATTTGAGGGATGAAGGAAAAATCCTGAGATTCCTTTTTAATTTCCCTAGAATGGGAGATAATACATCATGAGATATATGATCCCAAATGCCATTGCTCCTTCTAATGCAGACATAACTTTCTCCTTCTTTACACAGTTACCTGGACAACTTAGTGCATCAGCTGAAAGTGCAGCAGTGAGGTGTCTGTTGCATGGCTCATCCTTAGCATTCTACAGAACTTAGACAAGAGAGATGAGGGATGAAAGGATACCAGACACGACTAGCAAAAAGTTAGAAACTTTATGGTTTAATTTTCTTCTTATGGGAAGAGAGAGAAATAAAGACTTCAGCACTAGTTGCTTTGGTAGACTATAGAATGAAATATCGTCTTTCTGTTTTTGAGGAAAGGCACTATGGAGGAAAACACGTGAGTCTTTTCCCTTCTACAAATCACTGGACGGCTTAATTTTTTCTTATTTTAGTTTTTTAATGCTCTTACCTAGTGCTTAATTACTGCTTGTCCATCCTATGTCCACATTCCCTTCATCTGTCTTCATGATCTACACCCTCTTTCTTGGTGGACCTATCTGACCTCTGGTTTCGAAATTGCCAACATAGATTGATGCCCATACCATACATTGTAATCCTCTATATCACCGTAAGAGAACAGAGTCTGGAAATTACTATGATTATCAATGCTACAAAAGAGAGTCCTGTGTTAACCCAAAAGATTTGATTTTGGTTGAAGGGAGGACCTCATTAGAGCATGCAGTGTATCAGGGGTTGGACCCTTTTCCTACGACAATGGGAGCCTTTATGGAAATAAAATAATTCCATTGACATGATCCGTTGGGAGGGTAAATCCCAGCGAGGCAATTAATGCCCTTCCAAGAGTTGTCCTGTTCAGAACAGTTTCTGAGGGATATCTTCCACATGATACCACATTGTTGTACTAATCTAACAATGAATCTACAGACCAACCATCACTGACAAACATGCTTTAAGCTGTGTCGATAGGGAAGGGAATGGGTTGCCCTGAATTACCTGAAATTTCTTCTCCAATTCCTCATCATGCTAAGGGCCAAATCTGAGGGATAACTTGTCAGAAATAATCCAATTTTGTGAAATAAAGGAAGTATGAAACATTTTTTAAATGTAATACAAAAAGACTATACAAAAATTATATCATGATTCACAGTCCATTAGTTCAAGCCCCATGTCGGGCTCCGTGCTGACACCTCAGAGCCTGAAGCCTGCTTTGCATTCTGTGTCTC